CGCCCTCCCTGCTGCCCCTCCGGCCCCGCTACCGGGTACGGCCGCGGGGCGCCGTGCGGCGGGACCGGGGCTGCGGCCTGCTCGGGCCCCCCTTGCAGCCGGGCCGGCTCCCTCCCGGGACACCGTGCAACACCCCGACCCCTGCCCGCCCTCGAGTCCCACTCCCTCCTCGGGGCCGCCCTTAGACTCCCAGTCCCCCCTCGGGGTCCCCCGTTACCTGGTGGCATGTCTCGGGGCTCCCGGTCGCCCCTGGGGGCCACCCTTGGGTCCCCAGTCCCACTTGGAGGTCCCTGGTCCCACCCAGGGGCCACCCTTCGGTCCCCAGTCCCTCCTTGGGGTCCCTAGTCACACCTGGGGGCCACCCTTCGGGTCCCCAGACCCATTTGGGGGTCTCTGGTCACATCCAGGGGCCACCCTGAGGTCCCTAGTTGCCCCTCAGAGTCCCTAGGAGCCACCCTTCAGGTCCTCAGTCCCTCCTTGGGGTCCCTGGTCGCACCTGGGGGCCACCCTTCAGGTCCCCAGACCCACTTGAGGGTCCTAGGGGCCACCCTTAGGTCCCCAGTCGCCCCTCAGGGTCCATAGTTGCACCTGGGGACAACGTTTTGGGTCCCCAGTCCCACTTGGGGGCCCCTGGTCCCACCCAGCAGCACCCTTAGGTCCCCAGCCCCTCTTTGGGGTTCCTTTTTGCACCTGGGGGCCACCCTTTGGGTCCCCAGACCCACTTGAGGGTCCCTAGTCCCACCCAGGGGCCACCCTTAGATGCCCAGTCCTTCTTTGGCGTCCCTACTTGCACCTGGGGGCCACCCTTCGGGTCCCCAGTCCCACCTGGGGATCAGCCTTGAGTTCTCAGTCCCCCCTCAGGGTCCCTGGTCTCAGCAGGGGCAGCTCTTGGGGGTCCCCGCTCGCTCCTGGGGACCACCCTGGGCTCCCCAGCCTCACTCCGCCCCCCGGCAGGACGCGGAGGTGGTGCGCACCCGGGACCCCCAGCGCCTGGCCCAGTGCGACGTGGTGGTGGATGTAGGGGGTGAATATGACCCCGAGCGACACCGCTATGACCATCACCAGAGGTGAGGCCCCCCCACGCTGGGCACCGGGGTCCCCCAGACATCGGGGTCCCTCAGCGCTGACCCCACGGCCCCGCAGGTCCTTCATGCAATCCATGCGGAGCCTCCGGCCCGACAAGCCCTGGACCACGAAGCTGAGCAGCGCCGGGTTGGTCTACTGCCACTTCGGCTCCCAGATCCTCGCCGGGCTCCTGGGGCAGCCAGAGGACGGCCCCGTCGTGACAGCGCTCTACGATAAGGTACTGGGGGACCTGGGAGGGTCTCGGTGAGGGTTCTAACCCCGCCGGTGCCGCACAACTTTCCCCAGGGCTTCTCCTTGTTGGGGGTCACCTCATAAAAGAGCGCTCTGGGGAGGGGGACCCCATAAAAGAAGGGACCAGTTTGTTCCAGCTTCTGGTGCGCAGCTGGGCTCCCAGCCGGGCTGACCCCCAACGTCCCCTGCTCTGTCCCTAGCTGTACGAGAACTTCGTGGAGGAGATCGATGCCATCGACAACGGCATCGCGCAGGCGGAGGGGGAGCCCCGCTACGCCCTCACCACCACCCTCAGTGCCCGCGTGGGCCACCTGAACCCTCGCTGGAACGACCCCGACCAGGACACCGAGGTGGGGACGGGGGACGTGGGGGGGGGCGCAGCACAGGGCCACCCCGCTTGGGGCCACCGCTGACCCTCTTCCCCGTCCCCAGGCGGGGTTCAAGCGGGCGATGGAGCTGGTCGGGGGCGAGTTCATGGACCGGCTCGACTACTACCACCGTGCCTGGCTGCCCGCGCGGGCGCTGGTGGAGGAGGCCATCCGGCGACGCTTTGAGGTACCCACCATGCCGGGTCTGGGGGGGCCTGGAAGTTTGGGGAGGGGCGTGGGGTGAGGAGAGGCCAGGTCCCCTCGGTACAAACCTCCCTGCATGGCCGCGGGCGCCCCTTGCACCCCACACCCCTACACACGGTCACGCAACCCCCTGCACCCCTACACACAGCCATACACCCCCTCCTGCACCCCTACACACAGCCACGCGCCCCCTCCTGCACCCCTACACACGGCCATACACCCCCTCCTGTTCCCCATACACCTGTGCATGGCCATGTACCCCCGCCTGTACCCCTATATCCTTACATATGGCCGTACATCCCCTCCTGTGCGCCTATATCCTTACATACGGCCGTACATCCCCTCCTGTGCGCCTATATCCTTACATACGGCCGTACATCCCCTCCTGTACCCCTATATCCTTACATACGGCCGTACATCCCCTCCTGTACCCCTATATCCTTACATACGGCCGTACATCCCCTCCTGTACCCCTATATCCTTACATACGGCCGTACATCCCCTCCTGTACCCCTATATCCTTACATACGGCCGTACATCCCCTCCTGTGCGCCTATATCCTTACATACGGCCGTACATCCCCTCCTGTACCCCTATATCCTTACATACGGCCGTACATCCCCTCCTGTACCCCTATATCCTTACATACGGCCGTACATCCCCTCCTGTGTCCCCTGGACCCCCCTCGTGCACCCCAATATTCCCCCGCACGCTCCCGCACCCCCAGAGCTCCCCGTGCCGGCTCCGCAGAGCGCCCGGCGGCGGACACACGTGGAGGGCGGGGGGAAACTGAGGCACGGGGCCGTTCGGGGGCCGCACAGGCAGGACCCCCGCATCCCCAGCGCGTCCCCCCCACCCAGGTGGACGCAAGCGGGGCGGTGCTGGAGCTCCCGCAGGGCGGCTGCCCCTGGAAGGAGCACGTCTTCAGCCTGGAGCAGGAGCTGGCGCTGCCCGACCCCCTCCAGCTGGTGCTTTTCCCCGACCGCGGCGGGCAGTGGCGGGTGCAGAGCGTCCCAGCGGGGCCGCACACCTTCCAGAGCCGGTGAGACCCGTCCCCGTGCCGCGTCCCCCCCCGCCCCGGCAGCATCCCCCGCCCTGGGGTCGGGTTTTCACCCACCGTCTCCCTCTCCCCTCTGCAGCCTCCCTCTCCCCGAGCCCTGGCGAGGCGTCCGGGACGAGGCGCTGTCCCAGCTCGCCGGCATCCCCGGCTGCGTCTTCGTCCACGCCAGCGGCTTCATCGGCGGCAACCGCACGCGGGAGGGGGCTTTGGAGATGGCCCGGCGGACGCTGGCGCAGCGGCACGGGGAGGGAACGCAGAGCGGATGAGCCCCCTCCCGTCGCGGTCACCCCAAAAGGGACCCCTTGCCCAGCGTGGTGGGCTCCAGGGACCGCTGCTGGGGGTGGCTGAGACCGTCCCCGCTCGGCCCACGTAATGGGATCCGGCTGGGGGGGGCGTCAACTGCTCCCAGTCCCCGTGTTGAACTGGTGCAAACCCAGTCACAGCCCAAACCAAGAGACTTTTTGGATCCATTTTT